CTTTACTGTATCCTTTTAGAGCTCCCTATCACTACAATCAACAGCAAGCCAGTCAAGGTTTTGCAGGACAGGCCTTGATTTTTTCCCTCTCCCTCCTATTAAAGACAAAGAGTGTACAAATGCTCTCTCTGGGACAGCAAGCCCAAGGGTTGCCACCCTGCTGCTGGGGGGAGCCCAAGCACAGCTGCTTTCCTATACCCCCAAAATCACAAGAGCAACAACTAGGAAAGATCTGGGGGATGTCTCCACTTAGCCCACTTCAAATGGGTGAGAGGTGCCCGAAGAAGGGTCAGGACATTTGTTTGAGTCCAGCCACTGCACCAGTGCTGTCAACCACCACCACCAAGTTGTTCACGACACATGCTTTCACATGGCACCAGTCAAAGGGCCCTGCGAGGCAGGAACATATAGAGGATAGGCACTTCATATAAAAAACCAATCAAGCTCCCACTGTGTTTAAGTAATTCAGATTACCGATGGGACAGAGGAACTGCATGAACCAATACCCAGTAGTAAACGGTGCTTAGAAAATGCAGAGGTAGGAAAGAGAGTCCTTGCCAAAGAGGCTTTTAAGTGAAGAACACTTCCTTCCTTGTCTTCCTCAGTTTTGGTTTTCCTGTTTTATTTCCAAAAGTGCTTTTTAAAAACTTTTCAAGGGATTCAAGCAGCCACTGAAAAGCAAAAATAAATCATGGGAACTTAATTTTACTACCTTCACTTTGTTCGAGCAGGGAAAGCTTGTGGAAATGAGAAGATCAGGGATGACATTTCCTTATGAGGCAAAAAACTAGATCCCAGTTTCTGACAAAGTTTGGTGACTTACCCTGATTTACATCAATGTCAAGCTCTAGGTATTCATGCATACCATTTCCAGAGAGCTGAGCAGTGTTAATAAACTACTCTCAAAACTAAGCATATTGTTTTAGTTATCCAGGACTGCAAGAAAAATGAAAGTTTCACCATCTAACTAAGTTCACAGATTTTCTTTGAACAGCTCCTGGCGACTTGGGATCCCAGATTTGTTTCGGATGGTGACAAGTTTTATGGAGCAGATAGATAAGAATCAAAACAAGAAATCTCACCATGTCTTTTATTAGCCAGGCTAGGATTAACAGAATGTAGATTGGATGCTATTACCTCTGGAAGTATAACATTTCTTTAATGAATCCAATGTTATGCTTTGACATGATCTACAAAGTCCCATGCAGGACTCCTGCTGGGCACTTGCTGTTTAAATGACAGTAAGAGTTGAGCACTCTAACCTGTAAATAATTTAGGAGTCCATTAAATATTAAATAGATTTCTAGATACATGAAAAAGCCCTCTGCTTATTGCAAAAATGAACCTAATAATTGTTATTTAGAGACATCAGCCTTCTGTGCCTGTATTTTATGCTTAGTGATTCCTGACTGTTAAGGGTTTTTTTTTATTTTTAAGATTCTAAAAGCGAAAGCTGTTCATGAGACATCAAGAAAAGATACTGCTCTCATCTGTCACTGTAAATAATTTCCACTTATCATCTCTGTTTACAGGGACAAGGACCATGACAGCTCTGGAAAAGATGCACTACCAGTCATACCAGCAGCAGATCTCCTGCTGCCTGAGACTGCCTGCTATAATTAATCGAGAGCGTTCGGATCCTAATGCCATTAGTGTTGCCAGAACAACTCCAGCTGCAATTTACAGGGAGAGGAGGCAGAAAAACTCCTAGAAAGACGGCTCTAACGGGCCAGCATCCTTTTTCTCTCCCCAAAGCTATTTAGGTGTCAAGCACACAGCTCTTATCCTGATGTTTTGCCCAAGACAGAGTCAAAGTTCAAAATTTAAACTTACTAGTTTTTGGAGATTCATTGCTTAATTTCAATCTAAGGGAACAGAGCAACTCACAAAAATGAGCAATGGTGGCTCTATAAAATTAATACATGAGATTATTAGCTTTAAAATGTCCTGTTGTCAGAAAATAAATAAACCAGATTTGTGTGTCTTTCTGTAAGGCTAATACACACTTGGTTTGGGGTTTTTGTTCAGTTTGTGAGAAGCAGAGAAAATGGGCAATGGCAAAAAAAAAAAAAGCAGGAATATTTCAGTTTCTCTATTATAGGCTAAAAAGAGATAGCCTGGCCTATGGAATGATATATGCTCAGGAAAAGCACTTGAGATCAATTACTTAACCCAAACTGCCTCACATACAAAATCCGTTGGGGAAGAACAGCAAGGAACTTGGTAACAAATCTGAAGGACGTAACAGAGTATCCCACTTTGCTCTCTGCTTATTGCTACTATCCATACAGCAATTTAGATGCTCTCATTTCTCCGGTAAATACTGTCCTGTTTCTCACACTCTCTGCAATGCTTGCTACCCAACCTGACAAAAAAATAATTGATGGCAGGGGTGCATGACAACCTCACCTAAACGCTTCTTTCGCCTCATTTTGCATACGACTTTCTTACCCAGTTTAAACACTGAAGATGAACAAAGATTTCAGAGTTTAGGTAATGAAAGCTGTTGGACTCATTGATCACTGCAGTTATATGTTATTTGGGGTGATAGTATTGAAACCCTCTTGCTCTGGGCATCAGTGAGCTCATGATTGCTCTGGCCAGCACTTAGTTAAATTGAAAGTTAAATTCAGCTGCGGTTTATCTTTAGATTATCTTTAGAAACTGGATGAAGCTGGTTTGTAGCATTTCTGAGAAAGATAGAAATTTTTTTATCTAATGCCTTACTGCTTTACTTCAGAAGAATTGTCCATTTCCTGGGCTTGAATCCACTCGATTACTCATACTGCATTATTTCCTTTAGCAGGAGGCAAGGCTTGTCAGATGAATACCTATATTCTTGTCAAGACAGCAATATTCAGCAGCTATGCCTGCCGCAGGTAAATTTTTAATTTCACTAATTTAATGCCATGAAGAATAAAAGATGAGGTGAATTTGGCTGGGTTTATAAGGATGCACACTATCAGATGCACTGA